TTTTTTTTTTTTTTTTTGGAGGGAGGATGGAGAAAGGAAGGTGGATGAGTTAGGATATTCTTTGTTTCTTTCGTTTGCTTTTGAACGAATCACTGTTGTTACTCATGTAATGATTTTGTTTCTTCACAGTCGCAAGTCTTGCTTTACAGTGGCATGACTCAGAAGTCTGCGAGAGCAAACTTTACCAACAGAAATGCCATTTTCTCTTTGTGTTTACTCTAACTTTCAAGGAATACTTTGGAATCGTTGTTCAGTTAAATGTAAACAATCAAATTATCAGTGTCCCAATATCCTACTTTTATATTTGTTTATTTAAGATAAAAATTTTAGCTTCTGGGGCGGCTGAATCTCAAGACAAGGGAAGTGCAGATGACCATTCAACAAAGAAAACATCATTTTCTCTGAAGCTGACCAAGTTTGAGGACGCAAAGAAGATTGCCTTGATTAAAGAGATTCGGGGTGCTATTTCTGGTCTGAATTTAGTCCAGGCTAAAAAGTTTGTTGATTCTCTACCCGGTGTTGTAAAAGAAGATTTGTCAAAACAGGAAGCGGAAGAATTGAAGGCGAAGCTTGAAAAAGTTGGTGCTACATGCGAAATAGTCTGATGAGTTCCCTTCGTTTTTGTCAGTTTTATTTCATATTTTTCTATTTTATTCTTTGATCTTGTTGTTTTCGTCAACACTTTTTTATTTGGTTTCGTTTGTCAATTGGGTAACTTTTAATTGTTATTAGTTCGAGTAAGTCAGAGTTTAATTTTCTAGTAAAGTAAGAATTAACCTGAACCCTTATTGGTGATGTTACAGTTCTGTTGATCGGATTAATATAAGAAATTTTAACCTTTCTTGCAGTTTCAGATGAATTTTATTGTTTTTAGGTGACATCTGTACTGACATTGATAGTTCATAATTCTAAGACTAGAAGATCCGTTACAGAGTGTTTTAATAAAGGTTTTGCTGGATTGACTTTGATAAGACGGGTGTTGAACTATTTTGTTTTTTAGGACGCTTTTGCGGATTAAAGATTGTAGGTCTTGTTATCGCATTGCGTTTAGTATAGCTAGGCTGTTTTAGATAGACACATTGTTTGTTTTTACCGAATAAAAGTTGTTGAATATTAGTTTCTTGACCAGGCCTTGTTAAATTTGATTACATTTGCTATGTCTGTGTTCCAGAAAACTTTTCGCTAATAAATTTTTTGAAATTGATCAGTGACTGTTGATTGCAGGAAGTCGTCACTTCTTTTCAGAATTTGATTGATTATTTTTGTGGATATAATCTAGCATTAATGGTGGATACGAGTTTATTGAATGGGTTTGGAGGTCCCGTTTTGTTTAGATACTTTAAAGCTAGCATATAGTATCGTTTTTTATATTCTTTTGCGTCGATTATTATCATGTAATTGTGGGAGATGATGCAGTCGCTCTGGTTCATTTCCCGGTTCTCGCTTGTTGCAGTTCAAGTATAGTATCCGTTGTTTATTCTTTTTTGCTGAATTGCTTCTATGTTTACTAGTTTTTAGGTAGGGAAGTAGCATGGCTCGTGGCCATCAAAAGTTTCAGTCGCAACAGAGGAATTTGAAGAAACAAGAGGAGCTTAGGAAATCGAAGGGTAGTGACCAAAAGGCTGCAGCGCAGAAAGCGCTCACACATAAATGTGTTGTCTGTATGGTTAGTAGATTTTGCCATTTTTTGCTCATGAAAAAAACAAAGTAAATCGTATTTTTTTGCAATTTGAGGTGTAGTCTCTAACGACATATCAATTGCTTTCAGGCATTAATGCCTGATGTAAAAACTTATAAGCAACATTTCGAGTCTAAACATCCTAAGGCAGCTCTTCCCGCAGAACTTGTCGATGTTCAAATATAACCGGTTGTGAAGCTTGCGCCTCAACTGTCGAAAACACGATTTTCGATAAAACTGTGAATTCTTTCAATCTGTCTATTTTCAAAAATGTACATTGCTTGTGTGCAGTGATTTTCTAAACTGGTCTTCTCGGATTCAAATGACTGACCGAGATTTGTGTCCCTGGTTATGTTATATATGTAAATGATCAATAATGTTATCATAGCTTGATTGACTTTGAATGGGTTCAATAATATGGCCTTTGACAGTAATTATTTAATTTGTTGGATTTGTGTTGCAATATTAGTTTCCTTTACTTTCACAGATAATAAAGCTTCTTGGTTTTGAAGTTGCTTACCTTTTAGAACCGATGTTTGAACGGTCCTCACTGATTCAAGGGTTACTTTAATTTTTTTCTATCTGTTGCGTATGAGTCTTTGTTTACAGGTTTTTTTTGGAGTTGCTTTCTTGATGCTTTTTTGCTGGAGAGATAATACCTTCTGGGGAGTTGAAGGGTTAGGTTTTGTCAAGTGAGTGTGGAAGGTCGTTGTTTGTGAAACTTGTAGTTTCTTTATTTCTCTTGATCTTGTTTAGCAGGAGTTGTATCGTTGTAGTTCTTAGAATCTTTACTGTTGTCTAGTTAAAGCTTCGTTTAAAAGTCTTTTAGCGTAAGTCTACGTACGGTGGTGGGGGAAAATGATTAGAAATTTATTGAAGCGCTGTGCTTAACTTCGGGAAATTGGAGTACTTCTGCTATCTGCTTTTATTACAGAAAAGTGAGGCTTTGGATTAAATTAATTTTCCGAGATGACTCGCGGGCATATGAAGATGCAGGCGAAAGCCAAGAACCTGAAGAAGCAAGAAGCTTTGAAGAAGTCGATTGGTCATGACCAGAAAGGAGCTTGCTTGAAGTCTCTTATTTACAAATGTACTGTCTGTATGGTAAGGTATTTTGGTGTGGAGGTCTTTGGGAACTGTACAAGATTATTGCATTATTTCAAGGAACTACTGAGTGGTAATATATTATGATTAAACAAATGTGCTACAAGCAGTTTGGAAGAAATGTAGCGGAGATGGATTTTTTAAAATTTTGTCACGCTTTTGAAACTTACTGTTTCCGTCGAACTTAAACGGTTAATTTTAGTGCCAAATGATGGACAAGAGAAGTTATAAGGAGCATTTCTTATCAAAGCATCCAAAGCAACCATTACCAGCAGAGTTAGAAGATGTCGGAACGTCATCCTCGGCAACATGAACGTGTAGCAGAATATTGTTTTTAATGATTGAAAAGCCACATATGATGAGTTGAGTTCTTACATTCTGTTTATAATTCGTGCTTCACTTTAATTCCTTTGCTTTTTCCCATTCTTTTGTCATCTCTAAATTAGTTTATTTCTGTATTTGAAGGCAGAAGAAATAACGTCGGTGTTATTTTTCACCAATGTTCCTTAAAAGGTACTTTAAAATGAGTTTAAATTTCGCAGTCATGAAGTTAAGTTTTTGTTTGAGGGAGAAATTGCCGTAACTTTACCAAAATTTTAAGTTTTCGGCGGGGATATGATGGTATACTACTGCAGTCACATAAGCAAACTCCCTCTCTACATTGTTTTTTTTTGAATGTCTACTTGGAGTCTTCAGTCAAATGTTGACAGCATTACTCTGAAATTCCTGCATCTCCTTTGCTCATTATGTCAACAAAATCATGCACTCGTCAACGAAAGTTAAGCATTTTGCTTTTACCATCCATAAGAATCCTGTGACTATAAAAAGAGTTTATGAGCTTTTGTAACACAAAGAATTGTTCATTTAATCTGTTGCTTTGCATGAGACTTAGGAGTAGGAGAGCTTCGATCCTTGTAAAGCAGCAGCAGAAAGAACGTGAGAAGGGTTCAAAAAAGCCAGAGTCGTTAAAATACGAAGCAGTTGAAAATATAAAGTTTAAAATACCGAGTGCTGTTGAAGAAGCAAGTTTTTAATTAAAACCAACTTGAAGTCGGGGTTTCAGAACTTTATTTACAGAGACAATTATGAGAGAGAAGAAATTGTGACAGAAATCAAATCTCGGCCGTGACCGGTATGAAGAACTCTTTGTATAACTATCTGTCAGACAGTGATATTGAGGGTCTCTTCACAGAACAGATACTGGAACTGTATGGCAGTTAAACTATGAAAACGTCTTGAATGATAAGGGAAAGTAGAGGAACAAGTGATTGACAGTGGTGTATGGAAGGAAAGCTCATTTTTTTGCTACGCTATAAAATGAGAGATCTTGCAAAAAAAAAAGAAGAATGAACTACCGCCTCAAATGATGCGGTGAAGTTCAAGGTAAGGCTTAAGAAGACATTTGATCAGTATGGGTTTCAACGATCAAAACCCATGAAAACTAGTACAGTGATAATCCCTAAAAAGTATGCTGCGATATTTTGATAGTAACAAGGGACAGAAAGCCAAGTTGTCCCAGAAAGTAACGCTGGTACAACATGATTGTCTGAGTTATTGGCGCTGCAGAAAGCCGCATCGTCACTCTGTGATTCAAGATTACCGCGAAGCTTCAAGGGTAGTGTAAGGACAATGGCACAGATACCGGCAAATGCAAAACCTATATATCGCGATGTACCAGTTTGCAATGGAGACAGCTGAAATTTCACTCGCTTCAAATGTCAGAAATTTGAAGTGTTAGGTCTACGCCTCTAATGCGGAATAAAGGCAAAATATTTTCAAATAAATTTCTGTAACGTTCATTCGACGATAGAGTCCAAATAAAAACTAGTGGGAAGAAGCAAGAACAGTGGAACAGTAAAACAGTTGAAAACTTCTAAATTTTCTTGAACCCTAAAGAAGAATTCTGAAAGGAATTTCTTATTTAGGGTGGTGTAATGAAGCGGAAATTGACCTTGTTAATCCTTGACGTCTTGTGGCTATTTGCTGATGCTCGTGAAGGCTTCGCGAAACTTACCCCTGAGGCTGATTCAATATATCCATTACATACATTAATTTTAGAAGGCACTATGTGAACTAATGTTATTTCGCGACCGCAATAGCGAAACCTCTAAAAAAAATGAAGCGTAAAGGAAATGTTACTGAATAACTTGTGGTGTAGGCAAACTCTATTTTCAGTGCTTAATATAATAATGACAGCATATTATACCGATATATAAATAACTAAAATACAAGATGATCGAACGAGATATATTGAATCAAATAATACAATGAAACATCAAACTTCAGTAACGGCGTCGCTGTCCACAGCAAAATCAAAACACACAAGATCGGTGACTGCAGTTTCGAAATCTGTATCGGTAGGAATATACCGTAGATTACTAAAATCAAGAAATGGTCATTTATGTGGGATTAATGGGTCACTTTTGTGAATGAGGATCGTCAAAATTAGGTGCAAAAGTAAAGCAAACGCTCCAAATAACCATAAAAACTAAAAAAGGCCGAAAGTGTAGAAAACGTTATAGTTTTAATATCGCTATATAAAAAATGGCTCTCAAAATTTGCTTTCTACTGGTATGGTAGAGAAACTATCGCTCTGAAACCGATCATAGGCTAAAAAGTTGGCAATATCAGCTCTAAAAAGTGGGAAATTACCATTAATCAAGATTGTACGATGAAGACATACCAATATTGACTGAAATCTTAATCTAACAAGAATTGTGCCGTGCCATTCTATTGTTACTATTTACGCCAGTATTAAAAGAAGTCAAAAGTACATCCGTAAAAAAAACCTACATATCTATGCAACATCGAGGGCCTAACGAGCCACGAGTTCTACTCAAGCCATACTTCCTTATACCGTTGACTTGAAGAGAAACTGTAAATCAATATTTAAAGTTTAGAATAGGAAAAAGCCCGTTCTAACCTCAATATGTACATTAAGCAGACGTTACTTACGGAATTGAGCATTAAAAAAAAATATTTAGAGAATTTCCTGCAGCTATCCCGTTCAAGAAAATATCCAAAAAGCGACTTAAAGGAACTACATATCAGCTCTTGCAGAAAGGCGTTAATTTTTTTGAAATAACCCTGAACATACCTTTGTATTTGATCCTGCATGAATTTAGGTTGTAAAAAGTAAGTTTCTGAACAAAAGTTTGCGGCTCTGCAACGGAAACACTTATTGCACGAGGTTTCACCAGAACTCCTTTTGCTACATCGTCTCTCATCCTTCTGCAGTAATCATAAAATGGAATTATACCTACCCCCTTCACAACGACGTCATCTAAAAAAATTACAGTTTATCAATTCAAGTCTCACTTAAATTCAAACCCACTCATTGATTTAAATGTCATAAAACATTAACGGTGCCAAAATCTCATCAAAAAATATGAAGCTGGAAATATAATAATGTACGGATTCTCATGACTAAACTTCCTTACAAAAAGGCTATCCTGATTCACACCTTTCGCATACAAAAAAGGCTGATAAATAAACAAACAAATGAAACATACTGTAATATGCAAAGAAAGGTAAAAAAACATGTATGAAACCGTAAACTTTCGGAGAAAGAAGCTACGGGGGAAACTGTAATTTTGATAAAATAACATTTACCAGGGTAAAAAGTCTGTCACAAAGTGATAAACTTTGAAAATAGTGTAACCATGCCTGGAATTCGAAAAGTCTTCTCTTTGTCACAAAAAGAATTTCATAATTTATGGTCTCTCATAACAGATAACTTTTTCTCCTCCTTTCAAAACAACAACATTTATTTGTATTTCTACTAAACAACTATGTTTACATTTTATAGAGAGATTACAGTGATACGAAAATACCATACCATACCATTATATATAATGTAAACAAAATGCTGAAGTTTTACACTGATAACCAGAAAAATTGAAAGTCTTAAGAATGTAAAAGAAAGAAAATTAGAAAAACAGCAATGGTTCCGTTCCACTGTAACTCCTTCAGTGTTTAAAAGTTCATTTTCGGCAATTGGAATGTCTGCTTACCGGATGGAAACATTGATGCTCACATCACAATTTACACAAATACATCAACGGAACTGAAGCCCTGTTCAGTGTCAACTCGTCTTCAAAACTTCTAATTTCAGCAAGTCTTTCAAAAATAAGAAAAATTCGGCAAACTGTACTGCTTAAAATCCCACAGAAAAAAGCGCTTACACTTTTCTTGGCTCAAAATCCCTTCACCAGCAACGTTCATTAAAACACTCTTGTTTTCTTTTTTTTTTCTTCGATGTAAATTTCGTTTTTCTTTAAATAAACGAGAAATATTTCGCAAGGTAAACCAATAAAAAGTAATGAAGCTGATAAACAATGTCACAAATACTTAGAAACAGCTAATTAGGTGTTCTTTGTGTAAACAGCTATTGCTTTTCTAAATACAACTCAAGTATTCGATATAATTTTTTTGTATCTTTCCTTACATTTGAAAACACTGTTTTTTTCACTCTTCTTACGTCAGGAATTAAAAAACCTCAACAAAACAAATACCTTACACTTCGATGGCGCACAGCAGTAATTTTCAGCATATAAAAACCAAGAAAAAATAATGATCGTCTGATAATCGAACTAATGCCACAGAAGGAAAGGAAATGAAAACAAATCATACAAATCCGATAATCACTTTCCTTCGTGAAACTTGTGTAAATGTTTCTTTTTGCAAAATTTCATGTTACCATCAATTGAACAGGAAAACAACAAGCAGCACCGCTTAAATTCGCCAAAATACAGAGCAGAAACATTACAGCAATGTTTCAGAAATTGCTGTTCGACCAGTAACAATTATTATAATATTCTTGATACATAGAATGAAACATTTGGACAATAACATTATAAATTTAACACATTTTAAAAGTTCGTGTAGTTACAGAAAATAGCAGTGACCGCAAAGAAGAAAAAACAAGCAAAAAAAAACTGTAAAATAAATGACGAAAGGTTGAACATCCGAATGACGTACATAGATTCAACAACAAAAACAGAACATTGGCCAACAGAATGACGGATCACATGTAAAACAGGAAAAAATCAGCTGTGAGAATTGCAGACATCATGACGGCCTGGCACCACCCAGTTTTTTATCGCAGACATATAAATGTTGTTAATTTTTTTTTTCGTACATGGCAAGTACCCAACTGTTGGCGAAATGCCATTTAAGAGCAAATTAAATTTCGGCATACTTTTTACACAGCTGTTGGCTTTAAACCGGTAGGTATAGCCGATAAGATCAATGTTTCAAACCATGTTGATCCACTTATGTTGCATTTTTTGTCTGTAGTATTTCAGTTGTACAGGGGTATTAAACACTGAGTAAGTTCGGAATAATTGATAAATACCCGTTGAAAAAAGCTTCTCTGCTGTTTTTTTGTATGTTCTTTAGAACCAGAGAGTTTTTTTTTCATCGTTCCGAATTCGCCAAAATGTTTCATGTAAAATTTTGTTCATTTCTAACTAAGTCTTTTTTATATTCCAAATAAAAGACTTGACAACTGGAAGTTGCAGCATTTTAAAAAAAAAGAGGTTTTTAATAATATTAAAAAGATATGAATTTTTTTTTTTTGTATGCTCAAATTTGATTTAAAAATACATTGTATAATGAAAAATAAGTCAAACAAAAACATTAAACCTTTTAAAATTTTTCTGCAGTTACACTTGAAGAAAATTGCAAAAGTGTCATGAAAACTTTGAATCATAATATGCCATAATTAAATGTTCAGCTTAATTTTTTTAATTCCATTCTAGAATTTGTACGCTCAGAGCCAAATGCGCTGTCAACCAAAACAAATAGTGGCAAAAAAAAATTTTGACAGGCACTTAACGGTGTTATAAACTGGGAAAAAGTTGTCTTATCGCCAGTTTAACCAGTACAAAAAGCCGCGGTTTTGGGTGTAAACGCTGTAAACCTTCAATAACACACCGAAATATACCTGTTTGAGTGTCAGTATAAGACAGTTATTATTAGGTGCCAATGATTAAAATGATTTTTTCAGTTTGTTTTGATGAATAGCTGCCTAACTTTGGCATGTTTTTTAGCTGCGTTTCAAGAAAGTATTTGCTTGTTTTGCGATCGAAACTTCTGTTTTTCACGAGACTCACTAATACATACTGACTTGCTCAAAGACCGGTGATACGACAATAGGTGTTCATTAGTCGGGGATAATTTACTTTTCTTTATTCATCTTTGAAAAGAATATTTGAAACAAAATTTCTTGATGAAAGGTTTGTGTGGTTGAAGCATCGAACTCTAAAACTTTATAGCTTTTTGTGTTACCGCACATTATGACATTCGACTTGTCAAAGTTTGACTTGGTCTTTAACTAATGACTAACACGGCTACTCAAACACTTCCTGCGTTCACTGGAAGCCAAATGTAAGTGAGTGTTGCAATTCACAATAGAGTGTAGAAAACTGAGAT